TTTTTATAAGAAAATATAAAAACAAATATTATTTTTAACACCAATGCACAATTGATGATTTTAATTAGATATTTATAAAATTTAAAATCAACTTTTATTTTTCTTATACAAGTTAATTGTAAATTTTTTCTATATAGATTAATTGTAAAGAGGCATAATTAATACAAAAATTCTATAAAAAAAAAAACACTAATATTTATTTATTTCTAAAAAAGTTTCTACTCGAAAAGTCTCAACAGCAAAAAGGCTCCAACCGAACAAAAGAAGCACGTCGCTGGATAGCTTGGATTGCTTTCCTTCTTTATTTTATGAGGGTTGCCAGAGTCAGAACTCTCCAAGAATCACAAATAATAAAGGAAAGAAACAGACTAGACTGTAGAGAAAATCTTGCAGAAGAGAAATGGAAGCCATTATTTATACAAGCTGAACATGAATAGGTCATGTTAGTTTCCAAGGACTTAATATACATTGACTTGTCTGTTTTCCAATTTAATGAACAAACTTCATTGGTGTTAGAAGCTTCATATCATTGAAGGAACCAAAATGACTACTACTTCTGTGATTGAGCAACAATTAATGTCTGTTGGTCCTCCTGCTGCTGCTGCTCTTCTTTCACTTTTTCTTGCTCACATGAGTTTGGCACAAATTGTGGTCGGCAATACCGGACTATTACCAGAGATATGAATGCTGCAACAAACAACCAACGAACATAATCAAATTGTATTCAAAGTATGCAAATCACCATTTTTAGGCGTACAATGCCAATTCTTCTACTGTTAGTTAAAAGGAGAGATTGAATGGTCTGAAGGGATAACAGATCTAAGGACTTGGATCTGAAGACTCTTTCTTCCTTTTAATTTATCGGCCCAGCCACAGAAACTAGTAAGTACTAACCTAATAAAATATGAGATAAATAAGTGTCTTCTACCTTTGCTAGAACTAAAACAATTACAAAAGAAATTAATTGTGGATGGCTGAAACCAAGACAACTTACCTGAAAATATGCGAATTTTTACACTTGACAGATTCCAAAAGGCTGTTACTGCTGAAGCTGCCACAAGCTTTTTGTGAGAGCAAGCTCCCCAGGCTTCCCCGACCCACTGTTTCATGTACTCGGCTGCATACCCAAAATCCAAGTCAGTTAAAAGACATACTGATTCAAGTATGTAGTTCAGTTCTATAATATACCTTTTTGGTTTATCTGAGTTGAGTAGGATGAGTATGGTTTTGGTACAGTGAAGCTGATAAAGAAACCTGCTCAAATACACAGCCAATAATCACCATTTCACAGGCTAAGCGATAGGAATCATAAATAGACATTCCTAATAAATTAGAAAGGAACTTTTACCTAATGCACAGAGCCTCCGTAGGGTAAAAAGGTGGCCATACTCAGCTCCAAGGAGAAGCAATGGAGCTACCTGCATTGTTCGAAATGAAGCCTGATAAGCATCCATTTAAGCACGTCTAATTACAAACTCCAAAGGTAATAAAAGTACCCATTTAAGCAAAAACTTTAGACATTATTTTTAAATTATTAACAAGGAATTTTTGTGTCAACTTCTGAAGAAGTGAGGATGATAGAAGTTCCCATTTTGATGATATTTGTTAAGTATTGAGAATGAGTTTCAGTAATTACTTTGAGGGTCATGGAAGGCTCTCCAGAGAATAGCTCTTGCGTTTTGGAAATTGCAAGATTCATGGCTGGGAGTATCAGTCTAGCCAATTTCAAGAAGTCCTCTTCTCTCAGACTCAAATCACGCCTCTTTTCAACATTTTCTCTGTGAATTTATTAACAATACGAGTATGAGTTACGAGGCGGGGGAAAGATAACTAAGACATGGTATCATAGCAAAAGATGCAATTCTACCTTTGGCAGATTGAATTAGAGAAGAAGGAAGCACTCAAAAACAGAAGTCCTAGCTGAGAGAATGCCGAAAACATGCTGAAACAGGAAGACTAGAGAGATTTAGTTATCTTAACTAAACACCCAAAACAGAAATCAGGAGAAGGAAAGGGCCAAAGAAACACACACCTAAAGTTGACTCCTTTGGCAAAGCAAGAAGACAAGAAATACAAACAACCAAATCCAAACCAAAGGCTTGATTTGGCCACATCTCTCCACATGACCAAATCACTAATCATCTCTCCTATTCGATCGAGATTACCTCCATCATAATCATCTACTTCTGAATCAACAATGAACACCACCAAGAGAAGCATAATAAATCAATAAAGACGAATAAACAGCATATAAACCAAAATAAGCCAAGAAAATGGGTACATACTTGGAGACAAACTTGATGAAGATACTGCAGAGACCAAACTGAGCGTCTCCTTCTTTGATTTCCCAGCATGCCTCCCTTTTCTTAATTTCCCAATCTCCTCCACCAACCCCGAATCCCTCTCTTCTCTCCCTTCCATTTCCACTCTTCTCCTCGACCTCCGATTATTCCTCGGCGAGTGACAACCCAAACTGCTTTTGCATCTCTTGCGCGGTCCATTTAGCTTCGCAGATTCCTCCGCCATCTCTAGCCTATCCGCGAGACGAGTCCTCGATTTTCTCAGAGTAGAAGGCGAAAGAACCAAGAGTTCCGGTAAAGTAAGAGAATTCGTCGACGATTTGAGAGAGGTAGGCGAAGGCAATGTTGGGGTTTCCTTGGGAGACGACGAAATGAGATCTAAAGACAGAACCGGGGGCCGTTCTTCGGATTCAATAGCAGAGTACCCAATACTTGCTAAGCGAGAGGCGGATTTCGTTTGAGAAGTGGGAGTGGACCGATTATATGGGGGAGTCGGATCCATTTATGAGATGATTCTAATAATTAACTGCGACGAGAAGAACTACGGATTTCCGGCGGATTTTCGGTTGCGGAAATGCAGAATGCGTTTCGACCTTGATTGAGATTGAGGGAAGTGCAGGCAAGGGTTTTGAGGGTTTCTTGGGAATCGGAAGGAGCCGTTGGGAGGTTTTTGTTTCTTTGGCGGATTTTTAAAATTTGACGGCGGGGGAGCAGGACCGTCAGTCATATAAGAAAATCCGAAAGTGCCGTTTGCTTTATGTAAGTACCGCTTGTTTTGTTTCGTTTTTTTTTAAGCGTTATAGAATAATTTTTTTATATTATTTTTTAATATAATTTTTATGTATTGAATAAATGGGTCTGAGTGAATAAAAAAAATAATTATTTAAATAACTAATTAAATTATATCAAAAAGTTATCCCGATTTTTTTTCTTTTTTCGTTGTGGCCATTGCTTGAAGTTGGACCTATGGGCTTGGGTCATGGATTCTTTTGTATTTATACAGTTTTATTTTTATTTATTTGTTTCCCATTAAATTAAAAATGTTGTAAAATAGTTCCTACAAAAAGTTTGGACTTTACCGTTAGTTGTGTGAACTAGTAAGGGGATTGTTAATATTGATATTTTAAATTTTTACACAGAAGTATTAATTTGTTGGATATGGATTATCTGCTACATTTAAATTGTTAATCCAAATTTTTTAATTAAATATAACTTATTAATATTAATCAATACATATTATTAATTATTTATTGGTTCAAGTGAAAAAAATTTGATTATCTTAAAATAAAATATTAAATTTAAATCTTATTAATATAGAAATAGACTTAAAAAAACTTCTCCTTAAAAGTTAATATAGCTTTTAAATTGTTAAGACGTGAACACAATTATATTTAAAATTATTGTAAATATTTTATACTTCAAAATATTCTCTTTGTATACTTTATACTTTAGAATATTCTCTTTGTAAACACCTATATATAGGTCATTGTACATACAATATGATTCAAGAAAGCAATAAACATTTCTTCAGATATTTCTCCTTTTTTTTTTCTGTTTTCTAACATGGTATCAGAGCTATAAGCTCTTGGTTCTTTTCTCTTATCATCGCTGTTGGGTTTTTTGGAGTTGTATTTTCAATTCCATTCCAGATTTGAAACTTTATCGTTGGGATCTCTTCTCCTACAGATTGGATTGTTTATCCTCGATTTTCAGACTCTTTCTGAGGTATTTTGTTGGTTTGTTATTTCGATCTTGGCATCTATTTCTCTATATTTTTAGAGTTTTTCAGTACTGTGAGTTTACTGATTCTATGACGAGTTTTGAAAGGATTGTAACTCATCCTACTACTGCTACGGTTGCCAAAGAAGTGATAGAACAATCTAATGTCAACCTTGAATCCCTAAAACAGGTGATATTAAATCTTTTTAATGTTCCTACTGCCTTATCTACTGCTCCGGGTACCAAACCTTGGTATTTCGATTCTGGTTGTTGTAACCATATGTCTTCAGTTACTGCTCATTTCTCTTCAATGTCACCTAATAATTCCTTTCCTGATATTTATTCCGCTGATGGTTTCTCTATGAATGTTAGTCACATTGGTAATGTTTCTACAAAGTCATTGACTTTCCCAAATGCCCTTTTAGTTCCAAAACTTAGTTAAAAACTTAGTTATAATCTTCTATCTGTCAATCAATTATGCAATCTTGGTCTTGAAGTAACATTTTCTACTCATGGTTGTCGTGTACAGGACCTACGAACAGGACAACTTCTTGGAACTGGTCGTAAGGTGGGGCATTTGTTTGAGCTCAACTATCTGCATATTCCTGATAATAATACACCATCATTTCCAAATGATCGATTTATCCAAACCCTGCTTTGTGCGGTTGAATTAGAGTCCTTGCAAATTCCATATCATCAAATCTTCCAAGCTTGTGCTGCTACTAATTTTTCTCCTCTCCATTTGTGGCACTCATGACTCGGACATACCTCAGTTGGTAAACTTCGTCCACTTATCTCACGTGGTTTATTAGGATCAGTTTCGAATGAATCTGTGTATTGTGTGTCATGTCAATCTACAAAGCAACCAGCTTTATCTTTTTCGAGTAGTCATTCTCATTCTACTGCTCCTTTTGATCTCATGCATTCTGATGTTTGGGGTCCATCTCCTACACCCACCATGGGGGGTTCCAGGTACTTCGTGTTATTTATTGATGATCATACTCGTTCTACCTAGATATACCTTATGAAAAGTCGCTCTGAATTATCACAAATTTATATTGATTTTGCTACCATGGTCAAAACTCAGTTCTCTAAAATTATCAAAGTTTTGAGAACTGATAATGCTACTGAATATCTTGGTACTAAACTTCAATCCTTTTTGAAAGAACAGGGTACACTGCCACAACAATCTTGTCTTTATACTTCTGAACAAAATGGGCGAGCCAAACACAAATACAGACACATCCTTGATTCTGTTCATGCTCTGCTCATTTCATCTTCTTGTCCAGAGCAATTTTGGCGTGAAGCTGCTCTTACAGTTGTTTATCTTATTAATTGCATTCCATCATCAATCCTTAATAACCAGTCTCCATACAAGCGTCTACATGGTATTCTTCCTGCTTATAATCTTCTTAAGGTTTTTGGTTGTGCATGTTTTGTTCTTCTTCCACCTCATGAACATAACAAGTTAGAACCTAGAGCTCGATTATGCTATTTTTTGGGTTATGGGATTACACAAAAGGGATATCATTGTTGGGATCCTGTGTCACAAAAACTCCGAGTTTCACGTCATGTTATCTTTTGGGAACACACTATGTTCTCATCATTGTCAAACTTTAAAGTGTCATCCTCTCATCAACCTCCATTTTTTACTAATCCTTCTATTGAGCTATTTCCTAGTGATTCTAATGCAGGTACATCTGATGAGCTCTACAATGCCTCACCACATGCTCCAACCAATTCTGTAAAAGATGATCTGCCTACTGGTAATGCATTAGATAATTTTGAGCCTTCTTCTACTTCCTCGTCTACAAATGAGCTTGTTGTCCCATCCTCGAGTCATCCTACTCGGGTAAGAAAGCCTCCAAACTACCTTCGTGATTATCATTGTTTTCCTGCTATTACTTCGTTACATGAGCCTCAATCTATCAAGAGGCCTCTTCTAACCCTCTTTGGCAACAAGTTATGCAAGATGAATTACAAGCTCTTGAGAACACTCATACATAGGATTTAGTTGATCTCCCTATTGAAAAATCTCTAATAAGCTGTAAATGGGTGTACAAGATCAAAACGCAATTTGATGGTTCTATGGAGTGTTATAAGGCACACTTGGTTGCCAAGGGTTTTACATAGGAGTATGGAATCGACTATGAAGAGACATTTGCTCCAGTTGCTCGTCTTACATCTGTGCTCAGTTTGCTCGCTATCGCTCGCTGCTATACAGAGATCGAAATTGTTTCAGATGGATGTGAAAAATGCTTTTCTTAATGGTGACCTAGAAGAAGAAGTTTATATGAAACCACCTCTTGGGCTCCACCATCCTCCAAACAAGGTATGTCGATTGCGCCGTGCATTATACGGGTTGAAGCAATCCCCTCGAGCCTGGTATGCAAAGTTTAGTGCTACCGTGAGTGAGTTTTGTTTTACTTCCAGTCCACATGATACAGCTTTGTTCATTCGTAAGACTGCTCAAGGTATGGTTCTTTTACTTCTTTATGTTGATGACATGATTATTACTGAAGATGATGTCGCAGGAGTTGAGGAGTTAAAACAATCTCTCAGTCAGAAATTTGAGATGAAAGATCTTGGTGTTATGAGCTATTTTTTGGGACTTGAAGTGACCTCTTCAGATGATGGCTACCTGCTTTCTCAAGTAAAGTATGCCTCCGATATTGTTTCTAAAGCTGAATTCAATGATGGTAAGAGTGTTTCTACACCTCTTGAACCTAATGTTAAGCTTACACCTATGGATGGCTCTCCACTTTCTGATCCTACTCGCTATCGGCAATTGGTCGGTAGTCTGGTTTATCTTACTACAACACGCCCTGATATAGCATATGCAGTTCACATTGTTAGTCAGTTTATGGCTGCTCCTCGCTCCACTCATTATGTAGCAGTACTCTGCATTATTTGCTATGTTAAGGGAACATTATTTCATGGACTCCATTTTTCTGCCAACTCTTCCCCGATGCTTCGCGCTTACTCTGATGTTGATTGGGCTGGTGATCCTTCTGATCGTAGATCTACCACTGGTTATTGTCTTTTCCTTGGTAATTCTCTTATCTCTTGGAAAAGTAAGAAACAAACTATTCCATCTCACTCTAGTACTGAAGCTGAGTATAGAGCTCTCGGGGATACCACATCAGAACTTCTTTCATTGCGATGGCTTCTTAAAGATATGGGCATTCCTCAACCTTCTTCTACTGATTTATATTGTGATAATCAAAGTGCTATGCAGATAGCTCATAATGATGTCTTTCATGAACGCACTAAACACATTGAGGTTGATTGTCACTTTATTCGCCATCATGTTGCACAAGGAACTATTCATTTGGTTTTCATTAGCTCCGCTGATCAACCAGAGGATCTCTTTACCAAGGCTCATTTTCCTGGACGCTTTCATACTCTTCTTTCCAAACTCAAGTTGGTTTCATCACAACCACCTTGAGTTTGAGGGGAGATGTTAAGATGTGAACACAATTACATTTAGAATTATTGTAAATATTTTATACTTCAGAATGTTCTCTTTATATACTTTATACTTTAGAATATTCTCTTTGTAAACACCTATATATAAGTCATTGTACATACAATATGATTCAAGAAAGCAATAAACCTTTCTTCAGATATTTCTCCTTCTTTTCCGTTTTCTAACATAAATACAAGATAGTTTAGTAAGAAAAAAAAAATACATGTTGACTTTTGTAACAGACTTGAGTGAATTCATCATGCAATCCTCCCGTTTTATTTTCTTTGGATTATTAATAAAATATATCAGGTTTCCTTTTAAAATAGAGAAAATCAAACCTTGATCGCCAAGGTAAGCAAACCTTTTCCCAAGTTATCACTTTAAATTGAGAAGATTATAAACTAACAACAAAATGGAATGACTAATCCTTAATTAAATATCAAATATTATTCATTAACTTGAATTATCTTATGTCAATAACATAAATAATTTAGTAGTAATCTTTTTGTAATATCCCAAATTTTCGGGAATTCTAGCATTTAAGTTAAGGACCTTTGTGTGAGAAAATATTATTTTGGGCTTAATAGCCAAAATATCCAAAGTTGAGGGACTTGAAAGAGGAAAGAATTTGGATAAGGACCCGGTATTTTTTCTTCTTTCTTCTTCAGCCCGCACATCTGCTCTTCTTTTCTTCTCCCCTGCAGCCGAAAGCCCCCAAGCCCGACAGCCTCCTCTTGAAAAACCAGTGAGAAAGCTTGGTTTTTCCCTTCTTTTCTTGTCCAAGAACAAGATTTAGGAGCTTAGAAACCCTCCCTAAAGCAAGGAATTCCAGATCTACTCGGTTTCTCCCCCTCCCCTGTCCGTGAGCTGCAGTTGGTGATGCGAAATTCTGGGCTTTTTTTCTGTAAGAACAGCCATGATTTCATCCTTTTAGCTTTGATTTAAGTTGGATTACTCTAAGTTCCTCTTGTTCCTTCAATTTTGGGTGGTTCCCGTGAGTCCCCTGCAGCTTGCCGCCGGCTTCTTCTCCCCCGCCAGGTCCGGTTTTGCTTGTTAAATTCTGGTATGTGACAGCTCCTCCAAGCTTGAAATTATCCATTTAATTTGTTGCCTTGTGATGTCCGAATTTGGCTGAAAATTGGGGAGGAATTGCGATAGCTTTAGGATAAAATTAAGCATTAATTCAAGTGGAATTTATGTAATTGAGTGTTAATTGACTGCTGTGAGATTTTGGAGAACAATCCCGTGAAATTAGCTAGTGTTTTGGCCAATTTTGGAAGTGTAGTTACCGTTCACGGCACTGTTCATGATACTGTTCATGGGTACTATTAACGGGCACTATTCACGCACTAATGGCCAATGATAGGAAGGTTTAAACGTTTAGGTTGTAATATAAGAATAAATTTGGAGAGGTCTAGTCACGTGGAGATTGATAGAAATAACATTATGATTAGGGGTGATTTTAATGAAGATTTCATTTTGAATTTGTGGTAGTACAGTAATTAATTCTTGGATATTTTGATTAGATTCTTTATCGTTCTATCAGTTTAGCATTGAAATCGAGTTTTCGGTTTTATGCGAGTGAGGTAAGTAAATTATGGTAATGCCCTTCGACTTTAAAAGTATATTTTAACTTGTTTTTGAAATGGTGGTGGGACTAAACTTGTTTTATACAAAAATGAGCATGATTGATTTGAAATGAAATTATTATTCTTTTTATTGATTTAAGCATGCTTGCTTGGAAATTATTTAACTGCCCTGATGATCTGGAAAGTATCTGTAAAGTATGATTCTCTGTTAAATTCTGCATGTTTTGTCTCCAATATGGTCATGTTATTCGTGTGCCCGCTAGTGGGAGGTTTATAAACGCTAGCACATGTCGACATGTTACTGATAGAATCGGTTTGTTTCTGTTATCTTGCTAGTGGGATTATACACTAGTAAATCGTGTGCTTGCTAGTGGGATGTTTATAACACTGGTCGTGATCTATAAAGGAGACGTCTATTTTGTTCCCGTACTGTAACCGTTTTTCGTGATTATACTTATTGGCATGCTATAAGTTTAATAAGGGCGCTTCATATTTTACTTATTGAGTTTATCTTATAGTTTTTTCGTATCCACCATTTTAGGAAGCGAAGTGAAGGACGGGAAAAACGAGGGAAGTGATGAGTTAGAAGGCTAGCCATTTTGTAAATTAAACATGGATTTTAGATGTAGATCATGATCTTGTAAGTTAGACTGTATTCGGAGATTTTATGATATCAGAGAAAATTTTAAAATATTATCTTCAAATTTTGTGGTATTAGATTATGATATGATAAGTTCCAAGCCTTGTGCATTTGTGGGATCCTCTCACAAGTGCACGGTGTCTGTCGCGTCCCTGGATTTGAGTTCTGAGGCGTGACACTTTTTTTAGTAAAAATAAAATATTTTAATTTTGAATCACAAAATACATGAGCGAAGAGTATTAAGAAATAAAAGATAATTACTTTTTATATTATATATATAATATAAAATAAAATATAAAAAAGAAAAATAAAAAGTTAAACCACCTTATCTTTAATAACTTGTATAACATACAACTTAGAAAACATAACTTCGCATACACATACACATTTTATTTTGTCTAAATAACTTGTTGGACACTTGGAATTTATATATGAAAGCCAAACAATTGATCTGAATTTCATATCCCCTTCTTACATCTTAGAAAGGGATTTTATTGCTCAACTCCAAGATGACTTGCAGCAATGGATCTCAGTGCGAGAGATCCAGCATGCATATTCATATAACTTCAGAGTGGACTTCAATGATTCTTGGCATGCCTTTGGCAAAAGGCCTTTATCCTAGCAATGCCTTCTTCAAGAGAAGAATGCTCAATTGCAAAGGTAATACGAAGCCAATTCTTCATTCCCACAGCTACTCCTGCAGGATTTCTTCTTGTTAACATTACAAAAAATTTATGTGTAGTTTGAACTAATATTAATTTACACAATAAACTTTTGTACAGTGTGGACTGCATTAATTTACAAAATAAACATCATTAAATGTGAGCCCACCCTGATATTAGAGGCTTCTTCGTCCAACTATTTTTGTTTTACAGTCTAATGCCATTTAGGTGTCAAAACAAGTGACTCTTAACATTATTATTAAAAAAAAAAAAAAATCAGCTTTAGAACTAACACCTGGAGCTAGAATGGGAGAGCAGTGTGTACCTGGAAGAACCACGACAGATTCTTCTCGAGCTAGCTTGAGACAAAAGTCTGTGTCATCACTAATGTCTTCAAGAAGCAAGAGATTCAGTTTCACCTGTAATATATTTCAAGAGTAACACTTTTCTTGTTAAATTTTAATAAAGAGAAAAAAAAAATCACAAGTTTTATGACTTTACCATTACAAACATGGATCCTTCTGGTTTGTGAGGACAAGTTATGCAGTGGATTTCTTTGAGTCTATCATAACAAATGTCTGCAGCTTCTTTAGTGATGTTAATAATTTTCGAAAAGAAATCATCTTTTGTTTTGTCAAGTATTTCAGGAACTGCCCCCTGTTCCAGGAATTATTCAAAAAAAACTAATAAATCGTTCTACTTTTCGGCGAAAAATTAAAAAACTTGATACTTGCCTGAATGAAGGTAGGTGGGTCAGCTGAGATGTTTAGATATCTTCTAATGTTGTCTGAAACCTGGTTCAAAGAAACATATATACAAATTCATTCGGAAATCAACAAATATGAACGATTGAAAATGATTGAATGCCAACCCCGGATTTATTAAAGACGCCATTGGGATCGGTTGTCACAATCCAACCAAGTCGCCAACCAGGAACAATCCATCTCTTTGAAATAGACCCAACTGTAAGAACAGGCACAATTGATCCAAACTTCCCCATAGGAACAAAAGGATGACTTCCAAAAGCTAGATGGTCATAAACCTCATCAGCAATGACAAATATCCCAAGCTTTCTTGCTGTCTCAGCAACCTTAAAGTCCACAAAAACAAGTAAGTTACAGCCCGGAACCCCAACAATGCTATTGCAAATTTCAGGCTGTATAATGTAGTATAAATATACTAAATGAACCTTTTTCAAGTGCTGCTCTGTGAAGACATTTCCACAGGGATTGCCCGGATTAACGATAACCATGGCCACTGTGCTCTCATCAGCTAGCGCCTCGACAGAATCAAGATCAACCTCCCATCCTCTTTCTGGTATAAGATCAAAATGACGTACTTCAAGGTTGATAAAAGCTGCACGAGATTCATACATTGGATACCCCGGCCTGGGAAGAAGAATATTGGCACCAGGACTAGCAAGTGCACATATAAGGACCTCTATTGAATTGTTACACCCAACTGTGAGATAAACATCATCTGGAGATAATTGGTATGGAAGATCATGAGACAGATATTCTGCAATGGCCCTGGTGCCAGAAAAAAAAAAATGTTCCTATTAGTCATCCGCGTTAGCATTTTTCATTAGCTAGATACCATTTACTTCATCCAATGCCCAAATTACATATTCATTTTCAAACCGAGTGCAACATTAATTGCTTAAATTCTGTAACTCAATCAAGGTATGTTGCCTCAATTCTCCACTTACCCTCAAGTCCTTTATACTCATATAATATATAATATGCTACAGGAAAACTGAACCCTTTTTTTCAACATTGAGGCATGCGAAGATTCAAATTTGGAACTCTAAAGATGAGTGTTAATGACTAGTACCTTCAATTAGTCACAAATGTAATGGATAATAGTGACTATATGGAAAACAGTCACTATTTTCTGTTACTAAAAACGATTTTCTTGTAGTGAACTCAATCAAGGTACGTTACCTCTAATATTCACTTACCCCTGAATTCCTTTATACTCAATCTGTTACAGGGAAACTGGACTCTTTTTTTTTTCAACATTGAGGCATGGGGAGATTCGAACCTGGGAACTCTAAGACTTTCTAGGCTTCAGCATCTACAGAAAACTGAACACTGACAAACAGACAAAAAGATGATTAAACAAACCCTTGGTGGAGTTGGCCAACCACGATCGTGGCCAGTAGTAAAGGTTAAATGGTGTGACACGCATTGTTTTTGTATCTTTTTAATATGTAGTTGTAATGTATATAAAATCATTATTATATTTTTTTAACACTTCGTGGAGTTGGTGGGGTGTACTAAATTAGAATTTTTTTTTATCAGCAATAAATTAGAACCCATGTGGTATTAAAAAATATATATATAGAATCCATGTTGTATAATTCTTAACATAACACTGTCTAGAATAGTAGCATTCAGACTGCATAAAAATCTGTCAATGAAGGCTGTTTTTTATCCTGTCACTTTCTGCAGAAGGTGATTAAATATTTTCTTGGTTAGGATAAAAAATGACCTAAAGACAAAA